AGGTGAGAGGGGAAGATGGATGGATGGATGGAGGGAGGGAGGGAGGGAGGAAGTGGGAGGGAGTGGGAGGGAGTGGAAGGGAGAAAGGGTAGCTAGGAAGGAATAGAGCAAGGGAAGGAGGGAGGAACAGTAGGAGGTGGAGGAAACGATTGCTGTTTCCCCTTGACTTCACGTTTTTTGTCAGTGAGAAATGTTCTGAGATTGGGAGTAACAAGGCTGCTGAGATCGCATGGTGCGATCGATGGTGTTACAGAAAGAGATGATGTTGTTACTTAGGTATTTCACGATTTCTCGTGAACAGTTCAGAATCAGGTAAGACATGATCATTGAGATGAAGATTGAATGTACATTGAGTTGAGGATTGAAATGATGATTGAGATGATGGACCTATTGGTGGTGATGCTGGTGATGGTGATTACAAACAGTAGATTCCTTGCATGATATTTCTCTTCTCATTTGATTACAAGGGGACACCTTGATCTGTACGGGGAAGGCACAGAAAATGTCTTGATGCATCAGTTGCGAGAGCAAGCGTGGAAGGTAAGTTAGAGATGTCATGTTGTTGTCTGCTGCTGCTGAGAGAGCTAAACATGCTCGACATGATTTCTTGTCTTCAAAGTGACGTCGTTGTTGTCTAACTTTATCTTCTCTGTTTCCCTCTCCCTCCATCCTTCCTCTTCTTCTCTCTCTGCTCTTGCCGCCTCTTCTTCTACTGCTGCTGCTCCCCCCCCCCCCTCTCCTCCTCCTCCTCCCCCTCACCCTGTTCTTGCTTCTCCTTTTCCTCCCTGCCTTCTCTCTCTCAGAACATGTCTGATGCTGCAAGGAATGGTTTCCTATGGCCAGGTGAAGCTCCTGCTCCTGCTCCTAAACCCTGCGCCTGCGCCTGCTCCTGCTCCTGCTCCTGCTCCTGCTCCTGCTTTTCCTGCGCCTGCTCCTGCTCCTGCTCCTGCTTTTCCTGCTCCTGCTCTTGCTCCTGCTTCGACCCTCCAACTTGAGGTCCTTATTCTCCAAGTCATTTTTCCTTTTGCGTCCTCTCATTCCCCACAGCTCCAGGAGCCTCGCCGGCTGCTGCAGACGATACGTTCCTCAACGTTGCCGCTGACAAGGAGAAAGTCTCGGAGAACTTCTCGATCCTGGTGAGGGGGGAAGGAGAGGAAGAGCAGAGAGGAGAGGAGAGGAGAGGAGAGGAGAGGAGAGGAGAGGAGAGGAGAGGAGAGGAGAGGAGAGGAGAGGAGAGACAAGAGGTTGTGATTCTGTTTCTGTCCGCTGCAGGTGTTTCATCCTCGTCATATCGATCATCTCGTCCTCAAGGGAAATCCACAGAGAAGAACAAAACATCAGTGAGACAACGCATGATGTCTCCCTCCTCCTCCATCTCCATCTCCTCCTCCTCCTCCTCCTCCTCCATCTCCATCTCCTCCTCCTCCTCCTCCTCCTCCTCCTCCTCCTCCTCCTCCTCATCCGCCTCTTCCTGCACTTTTGAATTTTT